AGGATTTAAACATTAAACTACATTATTATTATTTAAATATATTTATTATGCAACACCCGCGACCCGACCCGCATCATCTTTGTTTTACCCAGAACCGAACCCGGAAAAAAGCGTTTGAAAAAATACCACCCGCGAAACACCTTTTTTGCGGGTCACCCGTCGGGTACCCGCGGGTACCCGACCCGATGCAGGACTCTGGTGGAGGTTGAACCGGGAGCCAGGAGTGACAGCCACCACGCACACACAAACAACACAGACAGGGGGAAACAAACAAACACAAAGGAGACGGCTGGAGCAGTACAGCCACCACAGCGTTACCTAATGCAACTCCACACTACGTCTTACGGTGCCGTGTACCGGAAGGGAGAGAGAGAGAGATGTAATACGGTTTCCTGATAAAGCTGTGGAGAGTATGTGCTGCAGGGAGGTGGATGCACAACGCACCCAGGAACGAACGCTAGCTCCGGTCCTTTTTACTGTGGACTCGATGTCCTGACAGGCCGGTATTTGTGCAACCTGCACAAACACAATAGTGCATCATGATTACAAATGGTCAAATACACTAAAACACAACCGCTCAACTCAACGCAACTACTAACTATACCCGCGGTCAGAGAGCGGAGATGTGTCCCCTGCGTGATGTAATATGACGCGTTTGACGTATGACCTTAAAAAAAAGCCGTTTTTAAGAGCAGAGCTCAAAATTGCTCCTTTCCCTCTGAATTCCTGCCCTTATGTCTCGTAAAACATATCAAATCCTGTAATTTTCAAGAAAGTTTAAGCATAAATGTAGAAAAAATAAAAACCTGCAAGATGCTCTTTAAGTACTGTTTTTTATTTCATAATTTCTATTTTGTTCAGATTAAATGGAAGACTTTGGGGCTCCATACTACTGAGACAACATGCAACAGGAAGCACACCATCAAATAAAAAGCTTGTGATTCCAGTGTTTAGTCCATTGCCAGCTAGTTTATATTATAATATTAGGTTGGAAAAATGAAATTAAGAAAAAGAAACAAACGGACTACAATTCATACAGGAATTATACAGCAATGATATCCATGGAAATGTAATTTGTAGACTTTGCAAGCTTTAGCAACACACAGGTCTATCTAAAGGGATTGTAGGAGGGGGGGTGAATAGAGACAGAGAGTAAGTCAGGTTTACCTGAGTCGCGCCCTCCTCAACTGTCTTTTTTAACCTCTGAACATCTTCTATCAAAGGGAAATCCGTCTCCATTGCTACAGGACTATTGAGGTCAGAGGAATCAACATACATAAAGAACTATGTTGAAAAGAAAGAGAAACAAAAACAAAAACACAAAAGGATGGAGAAAGACTTTCAGTCGCATGCAAAGAAGAATGAATCAAGAGGCTCTGAAGTGATTCAAAGAAGCAGATTTACTGGAGGTGGGGTTCAGAAGAAGAAAATTATTTTTAATACTGATTTATTGAAATTTATCAAAAAAGCAACTGTGTCAAAATATGTTGTGGAGCAGTAATGCTGTTACACAGATCTGTATTGTTGCACATTTTAAAAAGGAATGTACAACAATAGAAAAAGGTTTTAACATGTTGGGAAACAAGGAATAGTCTACATACAAAGAGCAGGGCTCCGTCTAACAATTACAAAAACCATCCCCTTAAAACTCAGTGATTATAAATTACATATTGTTTTATCTGCACAAAACCAAAATGGTAAAAACATAAATTGCTGTTTGACAGCCGGGGTATTTTTGGCCAGGCACAGTGACTTCAGGAAGTCTTTACTGGGTGACAATAAGACTCCGGGGAAATTACTGCACCTAGCCAAGAAGTAGGATTAAATAGGACGGAGCCAGGCTAGTTTTTCCCCGTTGCCAGTCTTGGGATTAAGCTTTGCTAACCCACTGCGGGCTTTAACTTTAAATGTATCAGGAGGACATGATGGTATTAATCTTCTCATCTAAGAAAGTAAATAGGCATATTTAGTAAAGCTATTCAGAAGTAATACGGTACTCTAGCGGAATTTCAAAATTCAAATTTTTGGGAGGGGATGGGGTTTGTTTAACAAAGTTACTCTTGGGATTTATAATACACTTCTTTAGAGAACATTTTAGAGCTGTTTGATTCAAGCATTCGCCACAACTAAGCACATTCTAAGACTACGGCCACTTCTCAAGCTCTTTCCATCTTTAGCAGCAGTTTCATTTGGAAAAACATTAAGTCTAGTATGAACACATGAAGTCCTTAAAGGGATAGTTTGGATTTGAGGTAGGGTTGTATGCACTTATCCCTAGTCTGTGTATTATCTACAGTCGATGGATAGATAAGCAGGTATGGCTAAGGGCAGGGAGGCTAAGCTAACGTTTGTACTGCTGTGGAAGGGAGCACAAATGGTTTTAGGCACCTCAAAAGGCCTAAGCAACACTTTAAGTGTATTCATCATATTTTCCTTTTCGACGGTAGGGCAACCATACTCCCTTTAACAGTCACTTTGCAAGAAACGCTGTGTCTTTCTGATCCCCCTACCACAGCAGAACATAGCTTAACTTCCCTACACATACTCCTGTGCTTCTCCAAACTAGGGGCATGCTGACTGCCTTTACTGTAGGTAATACACAGACTCATACAGCCCCCATCAAACAATGTGAACCATCCATTTAATGGGATAAGATGGAAGGGGAACTAGAATTCAACAACAAAACTGGCTTACAGAAAACACAAGACACTTATTTCATGAAGATTAGTGCTACCCACACACACTCACACACACTGGGGTAGAAAGGGGGAAAACAGGTGGGGTTAGATGATGGCACACAATGCTCACCTGTGGATTTGACTTGGCGAGGTTCTCAATCTTAATCCAAGCCTCCTCACGTTCTTTAGATTTTGCCTTCTCTCTGTTGAACAAAGCAGCAGAGCTCGGGTCATTAATCTGCTCCACTGCGCTGATAAATGTGAAACCCAGCACTCATTAAGCGCCAGTGTTCAGGCTGATTGCAATTCCGTGTCACTCAGACATTATTGTTAAAAAACAGATTAAGTGAGAGGAGAGTCTGCGGTGCCTACTTGTTTTTCTCAGCCCTGAACTGCTGTGTGCAATCGTCGAAGAGCTTCTGATTCATCTCCATGAAGAGCTTCAGAGCGTTGTAGATGAGGCCGTGGATGGTTCTGTGAACACACACAAGAAAAAGTCAGACGGGGGTCCAACGCGAAAACACAAGCAACATTACCGTAAAGCCCAATTTTGTACCCAGAAAAAAAAATAGAAATTATTATCCGGAATTTAAAATAAATCTAAAACATGTGGTCTGACAATTGGAGAAAAGCTAGAGCACCTGAAAATGACTACTGACAAAATGACACACAAACAATTAATGCATGAGCGGCTGATGGCAACACTTTTAATTCTATTTTATTTTAATTGTTTAGCAGAAATATTCAAATGTATTTTCCATCGAAGAGTCCAAAACTTTACAGATATTTAGTACACAGTGATATATAAAAGTAAGTGTGGGTTATAAAAAGCATTTTGCTTCAGATTATAAAAAACAGTTTCCGATTACCGTACTTCTCAATTAACTTCTTCAGTTATATATTAAACTTATTAAATACATTGAAGTATTTGAAAGTCATTAGTTATGCATTAATCGCAGAAAAACTTAAATGTAGTATAAATATGTGATTTCTATAAATATATTTCATTAAAAATGGGATTCAAGTTGATGATAATCAGCCTTCCCATGCCTATTCTAAGTACATCTAGTGAAGTGGTTAGCTGATGTGCAGGAGAGTACACTCTGTGACCAAGCTGACATTTCTACATACACTTGAGAGTTATCAGTTATGTGATCTGTTGTGTCAGACTGGTGTTGCAATGCAGTGTGAAGAACTTTGAAGGACATAGCGTGTGTATGAACGACCAACGTTTGACATCTTACTTGTTCCAGTGGGTCTTGGAGTTGCGGTACAGAGCCGGGAACATGATGGGCAGGATCTTCGCTGCGTTGTCGCTGATCAGACTCATGATGTACTCGTTGTTCCAGTAGTAAAGAGCTCTCTCGGCCACCTACACAAAAAACCCTATTCATTTATTTCCTGAGAAAATTCTCATCAGTTACATGAAAGCGGTTTCACTTCCCTACCGAAAACTATGACTCAAATATGTCCATGACTAAGAAAGACAATGATTATACATCATTAAACACTAACTTTGACCATCAACATGTTATCTTGTCGTCAAAAAGGGACAATAACTACAATATAGATTAAAACAATTCTACCAAAATATATTTTAAAACAATATGAAATGTGGGGGGAGGGGGGGGGACTATTTTTAAAAGTAGCTTTTCAGTTTTCAGTGCTAAACATGCCATATCATGACTAAAGCAGCAGCAGCAAACAATTAGAAAAGTCATGAGGACTAAGTAACTTACTTAACATTAGGGCTATGGAGATGAAAATGTCAACTGACTTATTGAATAAGGTAAGACTTAAAGGCCAAGACCTATTAAATAAAAAATAATTAAAAACTAACCAGGACATTTGACAGAACTGAGACTCAATAAAGAAAACAAAAAGTACCTGGAAGTGCGGGCTGGACACACACTTGGCCAGCTGTCTGAAGAGAGGCTCCTGCACTTTGACAAACTCAGAGGGCTCGATGACGTCCAGGATCTCCTCCAGCTCGTTGAGAAACATCACCTCCTTGGGACTGTGAGTCTTTGGCCAGTACTTTAAAAGGGCCATTACCACCTGTAGGGACGATAAAGACAGATAATTACAGTGATGAATAACTGAGAAGAGAGTAAAAAGTCAATAATCTGGACACTGTATTCATTTAGAAAGTCATAATGTAGTACAAAAAGGTCAACTTCATATTTAAAGAGATTAAAGGGCCCCTATTATACTTTTTTTCATCAATATATTATATGTCTCAGATATATACAGAACACGTTTCTGAAGTGTTTGCCTCCAAATACCAAACAGATCACCCTATAGCCGCGTTCACACCGGAGTACTTTTCCCCTTTTCGTTAGTACCCCTTATGTTGCGTTCACACCAAAAAGAGTACCGTAATTTTCGGACTATAAGCCGCGCCTTTTTCCCCATTTTTCGACGCTGCGGTTTATATAACGGTGCGGCTAATCTATGGATTTTTACAGCTAACGGCCACTAGGGGACCTCCTAAATCTATGGATTTTACAGGTTACAGTCCACCACCTCTATGGCCGGTCCGCGCCCCCCAACTTTAAGCGGCGGGCTCCAGCAGGAAAAGCTGGAGGCCGGAAAAGATTGAGACAGGTAGCTGCTGCGGCTTATATTCAGGTGCTTCTTATAGTCCGAAAATTACGGTACTTAGTGCCGGGAACTTTTACCCCCATTTGTAGTGCCTGCTAGAGAGGTGGTACTATTCTGGGGGGAAAAAGTGCCCCAGTTCTGATTGGCTGGGAGAATTGCAAACCACGCCCCGTAAAACCATTGTATTTGTGGCATTAGCATCATTAGCATTAGTCCCGCGCACCAACGGAGAGAGAATAACTTATGGCAACACAAAAAAAAACATGGGAGCGGTGGAGATGAGGAGGTGTCGGCGTTCTGGCGATTTACTCAGAAGGCTTCAGTCGAAGATGCTGGGAGTCTTTGCAGCAGCTTCAAAACACCGTGAATGAGCGAGGAAGAGGAGGACAATACCGGCGAGAATGAAGATTTTTACTTCCAAAAAGAAAAGCAACATCTGCCATCTGGAACTATTTTGGATACAAAAAGGTTCTTCTCTTCTTCATTCACAGATGAACCCCCTTATTTGAGGGTAAGCGACATGCATTATCATGACATGTTAGANCATGACTTAAGGTATGATGAGTCAACCAGTTAAGATCCAGACGTCCGTGACTAAAATCCTACATTCGGTTAAATATAGTATATCGCAGGGGAAAAGAATATCGCAATGTCCGTTTTTTTCAATATCGTGCAGCCCTACCCTGGGGTAATAAGTGCCGGCACTAAGTACTGCAAAGTATGAACTTTGTGAACGCGGCTATTGTAACATCGCATAAACCCCTCTGTTTCAGCCTTGTTTCAAAAGTGCTGATCCTCTGTCTGTTACTTTAGATGAAAAATAATGAGCCACTCCCCTCTGAGAGATATTTGGTTAAAAAGAACACAACGGTGCTCTCATTTTCAGACAGGTTTTTATATAAATGGATCAGGACAAAAAGTGAGCAAATATTTTTTCCTAAAACTTTCAGAATCTCTTTACACAGAGGGGACACATGTTGATGTATAAAAGACAGGAAAAAGTGGATGTTGCACAATAGGTGACCTTTAAACATTATTCAACCATTTGACATACCGGCTCAGTTAGAGTGCTGTCCTTTTCCAAAAACTGCACCACGCAGTAGGCCAGCTGAAAACAAAAACAAATAATTTAGTGTGAAAGTATTTAAATGTATGTGCAAGCAAGGTAAAGGTACGACGGACACGTAGATGCCTGAGGGACCAGCCTGGGGCGGGCATCAGTCTTTTTACTACAACTTGCACAATGTCTTGCTGCTCTCATGGAAAGATCAGTGTATTCAAAGCAGGTTTGGACAAGAATATTGAAATACACTTCTAAAAAATGTGACCGGCAAATAATTTATGTGCCGTGTCTTGCTTTTCACACATATGAAAAAGAACGAACCACGCTTCTTGTAAATCACGTTGTGTTCAACAAACTCACCTGTGGATGGTAGACACTGAGTGATTTGACTTTGTGAAGAGGCAATAAAACCTTCAACAGGAAAATCTTGTGCTCTTCTTTTAGTGGTAAGGCAAATCCATTGATTATGCTGTGAGAGAAACACAAAAGTACAATCAGAACACCTGACAAGTAGTAGTAAATTCCCTATTGTGAAGAAGAAGCGTTGGTCATGTAAAGGTTGTATAAAAGACACAAAGACATTTCAGCTTTGTATAATCGCCGTACCTTCCAAGTATTTCCAGTAGTTCAGCTATACCATTATGGTGCTCCGTCTCATAGATGAACCTGTAGGAACAAACAAAACCAATGATTTATATATTGACTATCCACCTGGGTAAATATGTTTTAAAAAAGGAGCAAAGGGAGACCTGAACTGACCTATAGAAAATGTTATTGATGTGTTTTCTGATGTACGCCCTCAGCCCCAGGAACTTTCCATAGATCCTGTGGAGGGTAGTTTTGAGGAAGTCTCTCTCTCTGGGATCCTCACTGTCAAATAGATCTAGGAGCTACATTGCAAGAGAAGTGTCAAGTTAACACCATGACAGTCACTTGATATTTTTTGTTTTTTCGACTGTACAGTAAAAAATGTTCTTACCTGCATAACAAATTTCTGGTCGATGTATTTCTTCGCTATGTTAGGCTGGAAGTCGGGTGATTCTAGAAACCTAAGGAAAAACTCATAGACAAGCTGCAACAAAAACAAGAAAAACAACAATGAGAGGAATTCATGTTGTGGAGGAATTCAGGCGAAATGGTTTATAAGGAACGGTGTTAAAACCGGTGTAGTACCAAATACACATTTAAAATCTGATACAGACAAACTTAAACTTCCTAATTTCACACTTTAGCTGTGCTGGGAGGCTCTTATAAAAACTTATTTTTAATAGATGATGCAATAATTTAAATGTCAACCTGGAGGTGTGGCCATGCAGCTTCAAGTGTTGGCTCGTCTTCCTCTGGATCAAACTCCGCTCCAGTGGGGTTGGACGATGGAGGCAATGTTCTGAACATGTTCACCGCGAACTGGAAAAGGAGAAGTGAAAATAGTATTGAAAATGTTTATCCCACTATTAAAAGGAAACTTCCGCTTGTTGTTTTTGATAACCTGGGGTCATGGTTAACGAAGCCAATAGCTCTACCCAGAATAGGTTATGACAGATGTTCACAAAGTTTCAAAAACACACTGCAAGACCTGGACTTCCTGTCAGATGTTTCCCACTCATTAATTAATGTTTCCCATCATGAGATATAAAGCAAAAGTGAAACCACATTAAAAGACTGCATAATTTCCCTTACATTTTGAAGCATTTCAGCGCACAATGTAGAGTTATGTTGTGTATGTGAAAATAAAACGGATTGAATACAAATGCATTTTCACAACATTCCATACAATTAAAGTAACAGCACCATTCAGTTACTAAGGCCTACAGCACAGCCTCCACAGAAAGTTTGCTCAAAAGGTCGATTATAATGTCCTATGGAGGATTACGGCTCATTAATTCAGTTTCTATCGTTTGTGTTAAATGATCACAAACGCAGGTAAGTGCACCGTTTAATGATTTAAATAGAAAATCTGTCAATACTATCATTGCTTAAAAAAACAGCGGGGACTATTTATTTCGTTAGAGTCTGTAATCCATTTAATTAAATGTAAATTGCGTTTGTATGTCATTTCTATTAAGGGTCCTATTTTAGACATTCTTAAAAAATAATCTTAATAGCTTAAAGTTAAACGTTGTCCTTGCAACTGGCCTCCAAGGGTTTGATCCACAATAATCTAAGTGTGTTGTGTTTCTGGTCTCTCGCAGTGTCAACTGACTCCCCTGTGGGCTCTGCTCCCTGGCAGGCAGATCATGGGACAGTGCAGGTGGCCTACTAAAACACTGGGAGCCTTGTTTGAAATATCTACAAGGTAGATAGATTAGTTGAGCTGTGCTGCACTTCAACCCAGAACAGGCTTTGAAGATGACTCTGCAAAAACGTTGCAGTAGAGACTTTAAATGGAAAAGTCAAAACTGTGATTCTAGCAGATCTGCGGATGGTCTTGACAATAAAAAGATAATAGTTTGTAGTCCAGTAAGATGCTCTTCCTTTGCCATGTTTGTATTGTTATTTATGTATCCTTGCACACCAAGGCTAAAATGGGATGAGAAGAACATCTAATTAGGATTGTTTTTGGTTTGATGGGATTCGCTGATGGTGAAGTTTAGTCATAAATGATTAATTAAAAAAAACAAAGAAAACTAAAACTATTACTTCTGCTGAAATAAAAATATTTATCACAACCCTTGGACCAGAGGAGAGCCTTCCCTGGGAATTACTAGAGAAGGCAATTGTTTAAGTGATTGTTGTTAATGCTGGATGTTGAAAAGATGACAGTGACCTGCCTTGCTGGCTTGAATAAAAGTAAGCTCTGTGACGATGTACTTATGAACAGCCGAGCGTGAGCTAAATGCTAATGTCACATGCTATACCCTATATGCACTCAATGATAGCATGCTTACGTTAAGCTTGTAATACAATGTTCACATATTGGTTTAGCATGCTAGCGAGTTAGCAAGTGAGCTAATTTAACAAATTGCAGCTGATGCTAATGTCTCTGATTTTGCATGTATTTTTAATTAACAAAAGGTATTGGACAGATTTAATTGTGATGATTTCTCTAAATGAAAACTCCAGTTCACTAATAAACAAACATTTGAATACATTACATCTTGTAGATCATTCAAGCTTTTGCAAAAGTAAATAGCATCTTGTTTCTGTTTGGCTTTAACCCATTTTATTCTGAAAATTATTTTTTAAAAAAGGTAATACTCTGAGCATATTCTCTTATTCTCTGAACAACTGAATATAATTCAGGCGACTGAATAGACACCTTAGGAAAGCTGACTTCTGCCCTAAGCAAGTAGCCCCCTCAAAACCTAATGACAACACAGCTATACATGGACATTGGGAAGATGCCCATAAGACATGCATGCCTGTGTTGTGTCTCTGAACAGATGGGTGTATTGTATGATAACACTTTTAACAAAGTTTAAAAAAAGATCACAAACATCAGCTGGAACACCGAGCTCAGCTCCTACCCGCAGCTACAGCCTGCCCTTATTCTTGTCCCAAGTTTCACTCTCATCTTTAGCTTCAACTGCAAACTAACTTAACCCCCTCCTGGTATACTGACCATGTGCACCACCTCCGGGTAGATGGGCTCTGTGATGACATTCCTGTTGTGGGTGATGTACTCCACCATCTCGCTCAACGCCGCCCGCTTCACTTCCTTCCATTTCAGGTCGCTCAGCGGGTCGGACAGGAAGTCAAAGAGAACGCAGCACTGCCGTAGCTTCTGGATGAAGAGCTTCTCCTGCTCTGCGGGGGCCACATCTGAGGAGACAGAGGGGGGGGGTAAGAGAGGTTTGTAAGCTAAGAAATTAAAGAGTTCAGAGCATTAAGACGTCACAATGCTACACAGTGGTTATTGAATAAAGTGGTCGGGAATAAAGAGAGAATGGAGCCATGAACAAAGAGTGAGGGGTCAGGAAAAAAAAAGGAGGGGAGGTCTAACTGATGAGTTGAAACTAGCAATGGATAGCAAAAGGAATGAGGCATAAAGAGAGAGATGAAGGAAGGCAAATGAGTCATGAAGACTGCATGAGCGAAGGGCTTAGATGGTCAAAGCCCAGTGGGGATACAGAGGAGAGGATGAAGGATTTGGGAACTAGGTGAATGGTCACAGTCTAGCCATGAGAGAAAATATATTTTTATAGAAGAACTCCAGCTATTCAAGTCTGTCATTACAATTGTCCATTGTGGTTTGAGGACTTCCTCTTTTGACTTCGTTTCCACTTTTCGAGCACTCAAGAGCAGTAAACAAACAGCCCACACGTCACACATGACAACACAGACAGAAAACATCCATCTCGGTTTCTCTAAATTCCTACCTGCCCACGTGGTGCGCACTAAAAAGTCACATTGGATAACACTCAAAACAGCTCTTCAGCTACCCAAGTAACCGCTCATTAGAAAGCATAATTTGCTTAAATAATATCCCTTTTCACTTGTTCTTCCTTTAATATGAATCTTAGCATAAGGATTGGAAATAGGGGCAACAGGTTTGTTTGTTTGTCAGCAGGATTACAGGGAGTCAGTGAGTCTACTGACCCAAATATTATGAAACTGTGAGGAAATGTGTAGATCAGGGCCAAGAAAGAACCCATTACACTTTAGAGCTGATCAGGGGCGGACACAACATATTTTTGTTAACAATGTAGGATGGCGGATAGGCATTTTGTGCTGCATTCTGGTGGTGTGGTTCTTTCTGCAGACACAATCAGGTTTGTGGTGGTGTATAGTAAGTCGCAAATACGGCACTTAGTTGGAATCATGCCTTAAATTTCATTCCCAATAACCTCTATACTACAATTTATAGAGTAGATAGTTCTCAATTAAATAACAGACAAGTGTGATAATCTCAAGTTTTTTTCCCCTGATAAATGTATTTGACTATAAGCCCAGCCAATCGCTGTAATGAAATAGATGTGAAGCAGCTGCATGCGACACAGATAAGATCAAGTGATTTACAATGGCCCAACAAAACAAAACATGAATGGGATTAGTTTGCTTAAATCATATTTATCTTTTCATTAGTGTCTCTACTTGAGTAGTTATAACTAGGGATGCTCCGATCGATCGGCCGCCGATCAATATCGGCCGATACTCACTCTCTGCCGATCGCATGACGTAAAATGATGACGCTTTTCTCTGTGCGCGGCTAAACAAGCTCGCCAAAATGGCTTCACCAGTCTGGCAGTATTTTAAGGTGTCCGAAAATGACAATAAAATAGCGGTATGCACGGAGGCGTGTGGCGCAGTGGATAGAGTTGGTGTTCGGATCAGGGGAGCACAGGTTCAAACCCCACTGCAGTCAGCATGTCGTTGTGTCCCTGAGACACTTCACCCCAAATTGCTCCTGTGGGGATTGCCCACAGTATTGAGTATGTAAGTCGCTTTGGATAAAAGCGTCTAACAAGTAACATGTAATGTAATGTATGTAACGTGTGTGAAGCAGAAATCCTGCAGCTCCACACCGCTGTGACGGACCGGTGAGTGGAGCAAAACACACACTAAGAGTTAGACCTAACACACTTATGGCGCATTTACACTGCAAGCCTCGCTCGGTTTGGTTAGGCCTTATTAGGCCCGGCTCACTTTAATGCTGCGCTCACATTACAGTTTAGGAACTGGGTTAGTTACTATAGTAACGCAGTGTTGTGTAGACGGGGCGATCGGCTTTTTGGCGGGCGGAGCGACGCTGCATACAACTGCCGTGACGTCATCTTCAATGCGACACAACTCACAAAACGCACAACAACAATGGAGGATGTGGAAGCCATCGTGTCCTTGCTTCTTGGTATGTGGTTTTTTCTTCTTAGGTTCACTGTTTTCAAAAATGCTGCAAGCGCCCGTAATATATGCGACAGTAGGGATTAAGTCGCGCGAGAATTGTGACGATTCTCTCTGACTAATCAGCAGTCGTCACTAGTTTAGCATATTTCGCCCCGGTTGTTGGCCTCGATAGAACCACGATTTAGTCGGGCCAGAAAAAAGGTGTGAAAGCAGTAGCCCCGGGCAAAACTAGGGCCAAGTGGAAGCGCAACCAAAAATGGCCCCGCGCGGCCTCGGCACGCTTAAAGCGAGCTCCGCGCTGCAGTGTAATGCGCCATTAGTATTTGATCTACCTCTGGAAGGTAGGCGTGGAGAGCGTAGTGTGATAGAGTTATGGGTTGGAGTCTTCAGTGTTAGTCATCGTGATTTAGGCTGGATGCCAGTGAGCCTGGCATGAGA